GACAACGGTTAAAAACCGTTGTCTATGTGTATGACTTTTAACAACACCGGTTTCAACAACACTTAATAGACAACGGTTCGAAAACCGTTGTCGTCTCAAGAAAAGACAACGGTTTTTAACCGTTGTCTATGTGCATGACTTTTAACAACACCGGTTTCAACAACACCTAATAGACAACGGTTCGAAAACCGTTGTCGTTTCAAGAAAAGACAACGGTTTTTAACCGTTGTCTATGTGCGTGACTTTTAACAACACCGGTTTCAACAACACTTAATAGACAACGGTTAGAAAACCGTTGTCGTTTCTAGAAATGACAACGGTTTAAAACCGTTGTCTATGTGCGTGACTTTTAACAACACTGGTTTCAACAACACTTAATAGACAACGGTTGAAAAACCGTTGTCGTTTCTAGAAAAGACAACGGTTAAAAACCGTTGTCTATGCGCGTGACCTACAACAACACCGGCTTCAACAACAGAAGTTTTACCCCTACGACAACGGTTATTAACCGTTGTCTATGTGCATTTTTCTTGTAGTGTATGTTTGTGTGTTCCGAATTACTACAAGTATGCTATATCATTTTGCTGTTGAAATAATATGAGTATATGATAAAACTTAATTATTGAATTTTCATGTATCTAGCTGTAATTATTTTGACCAATCTGATAGTTGGATTGCACATTAATGGTTATATGCTCAACACGCCATCTCAGGTGTGCGATGGGTTCCAAGCAACACATGGACTCCGTAGTCGCTTTGGTATGGCTCTGATACCAAATTGAAGCATGTGTTCCATCTCAACTAAAAGCCTAAGCTAATAGTTGGATTGCACATTAATAGTTATATGCTCAACACGCCCCACACGTGTGCGGTGGGTTCCAAGCAACACGTGGACTCCGTAGTCGCTTTGGTATGGCTCTGATACCAAATTGAAGCATGTGTTCCATCTCAACTAAAAGCCTAAGTTAATAGTTGGATTGCACATTAATAGTTATATGCTCAACACGCCCCACACGTGTGCGGTGGGTTCCAAGCAACACGTGGACCGTAGTCGCTTATCGGGTTACGTAGAGATTCATGACCTTTGGTCTGCCTCTGATACCAAATTGAAGCATGTGTTCCATGTCTAAGCTGATAGTTAGATTGCACATTAATGGTTATATGCTCAACACGCCCCCAAGCAACACGTGGACCGTAGTCGCTTATCGGGTGACGTAGAGATTCAAACCCATGACCTTTGGTCTAGCTCTGATACCAAATTGAAGCATGTGCTCCATCTCAACTAAAAGCCTAAGCTGATAGTTGGATTGCACATTAATGGTTGGGTTCTCTTATACGAGAAGAGACAATATCAAAGTTGAATAGTTCAGATTGGAGATAGAGGGTCGAAGGTACTATTTCATATACTCTAAAAATTTAATTTGTTGTGCATGCTTACCAATCTTATTTTGTTTTCTTTCATATATCTTCAAAACTATATATTATGCTTTATGAAACTTGAAAAGTGTTTTAGAAATTTTATTTGAATTCGTCTTTAATTTATCTTTGCAGCTGTTGTTTCATTTAAAGAACAAGCTGAAGTACTACAAGAATTTGATATATACGTCGAGATTTTACTTCGTTTTATATCCTATGTTCCTGGACGGAGTGAAAAAAATGTTCAGGTCGGTGCCACTTTTTCTAATGTTTTACAAAATATTCTCTTTCTTAGGTGCGTAATTGTAAAGCTTAAGGTGCTTCATTTTAACAGTTAAGGTGCACAATTTTAAAATTTAATTAAATTGCGTCAGTTCTTCACTTAAGGTGCGTCATTTTAACAATTAAGGTGCGCCATTTTTACACTTAAGATGCATCAGTTTTACACTAAAAATGCACCATTTTAACACTTAAAATGCACCATTTTAACACTTAAGATGCACCATTTTAACACTTAAGGTGTATCACTTTTAACACTGAAGATTCGCAATTTTAACACTTAAGTGCACCAGTTCAACACACATTTTCTTTTTTATTTTTAAATTATTATTGATTTGAGCCGTTGATCTAGATTTGATCAACGACTCTGATCTCACCACATTTTTTTTGGAAATGAGCCGCATTTATTCAAAATATTGTGAAATAGAGTGTGGTGGGACAGAGTCCCAGTACATAGTAGCGGGATGAATAGAAGCAGACGAAGCTAAACTATGAGCTAAATAGTTTTTCGATCTAGGAATAAAAACAACCGAACAATAATCAAAATAGGCGATGCGTGTTCTGCAGGCATCTACGACATAGCCAATATACGACCGGAGTGAGGCCGTTGGTTCTGAGAGGTATTGTTTTAGAGTTAAACAATCCATGAATAACTGTATAAAACGCTCTCCACGATTCCATAATCATGACAGAGTTTCCTTACATGCGAACGCTTCAGCTATAAGTGGGGAGAGACAGTTTGGCAAGAGTGCACTGAAAGCCGAAATATACCCTCATTCTCCATCAATCAACACGGCTCCAGCAGTGGCGGTGCCCGTGTCGTGCGAAAATCCGGCGTCGAATTAGCACTTCATCACTGGCGCATGGGGCTCCGGTGGCGGTAGCGTGTGGTCGGCTACGTCCAGTTGCTTCTGTATTTGTGCGTCTCCTACATCAGCATTCGACAGCACAGGGGCAGGCAGCACTGCCGTGTGATCTTGAAAGGGATGAGCCTGTTTCCATTCATGTACTACGGCGACAGCTGAGGCGAGTACCTTCCGCAGGCGTAGTAAGCATGCATCCCACACCGCACCATTCCTGACCTTCCAAATATAATATAGAATTGCAGCTGCGTGGATAACCTGGTTAGTGTCTAAAACATTTAATAGATCACTAAACCAAGTATAAAAAACATTTGTCGTATTGATGAGGATTGGAAGGTGAGATTTTGGCCCTAAATGGAACTAGTATAATTACATGTTACTAAAGCATGCATTGTGTCCTCATTCACCATCTCACACATTGCACATGTAGATCTCACCACATGTTTCACTTTAAAAGGAAAATGTTTTCCAGAAGTCATTTTTCTACTTTCCAAGTCCTTCGAGTTTGGACCCAATAGCTCTTCCGTTCGGCGATAGGCGAGGTCGGACCTCGTATCGCCCCTAGGGTGTTAGCGTTATGGGTCTAAGTCACTCGACTTTGGACCTAAAACTCTTCCGTTCGGCAATAGGCAAGGTCGAACCTCGGGACCCTAGGGTGCTTAGCGATTTTGGGTCGAAGTCCTTTGACTTGGACCCAAAAGCTCTTTCTTTTGGCGATAGGCGAGGTTGGACCTCGTATCGCCCCTAAGAGGACCCTTGCAAGGTCCGGAGAACCCTTACAAGGTCTGGAGGATCCTTGTAAGGTCTAGAGGATACCTGCAAGGTTTGGAGGACCGTTGCAAGGTCTGACGGACACTTGCAAGGTCTGGAGGACCGTTGCAAGGTCTGACGGACCCTTGCAAGGTATGAAGCACCCTTGCAAGGTTTGGAGGACCCTTGCAAGGTCTGACGAACCCTTGTAAGGTCTGGAGAACCCTTGCGAGGTCTGGAGGATACCTGCAAGGTTTGGAGGACCGTGTAAGGTCTGACGGACCCTTGCAAGGTTTGATGGACCCTTTCAAGGTCTCAAGCACCCTTGCAAGGAATCCTTGCAAGGTCCGAAGCACCTCGCAAGGTCTGATGGACCCTCGCATGGTCTGAAGGACCCTAGCAAGGTCTGATGGACCCTTGCAAGGTCTGAAGGACCCTTGCAAGGTCTGGAGGACCCTTGCAAGGTCTGATGGACCCTTGCAAGGTCTGAGGCTTACATTGCTGAGCACATGGAGGAGACCTTTGCGAGTCTTATGGGCGTGCCCACTGGGAGGGAGCGTGTGGCTTTGCAGGGGATGTTGATGTACGATGTGGTGGCCGAGCCTACGTGGACCGACCCCGGGGCGTCGAGCCCATGTTGGCCGACCCCGTGGTGGCCGAGCCTACGTGGGCAGACCCTGGGGTGCCGAACTCATGTTGGCCGTCCCCGGGGTGGTTCGTTATGCTGCGTGCGTAGTCCCCTCGGTGCCGGATCTTCAACTCCCTCACTATGTTAGGAAATGAAGGATTGTATATATTGTTATATATGTAAATAAATATGCTAAAGGCTTAATAAGATGGGAGCTTTTGAGATTGATATATCTTTTGTTCTAGTTTTCTCTCTACTCTCTCATTTTATTTTGCAATCGTGTTCATATATACAATCGACACGTTACGTATAACAATTCCACTAATTTCATCACCCGCTTGTCGCCTCACACCCGTTACCGTTGTCGCTCCGACCATCACTGTCTCGTCGTGTGGAGGGTAAAAAATATATAATGATTTAAATATTTGGGTAGAAGTTTGGGAAAGGAGGGCAGAATTGAGAATGTTAAGAGATGATAGAAGAGATGAGGAAGTGATAAAGAGAGGAGGGAGAAATTCATTCTCACGAATTTATGCATTGTGCCGTGGACACACAAATAATTTTCCAATAAAGGGGGAATCCTTCCTCAACCCCAAGGACCCCATTGGCTCCACACCCCGGTCCGATAGAGCATTGACTAAGCACATAATGTCAAATACCGGTGTGCACAAGAGAATGAGCTGAAGTGGAGGTACATTTGATCACGGGATACGCGGCCATAGTTATTCAATTACACAACTACAAAATTGGGTAGAATAACCGTGACATTATTTTTGTGACATAAAAAAATAAAAGAGGAAAATGAAATAAATTTGAAAGGATCAAAATACACTTTTAATTACAACACAATATTTTTTCGATTAGAACATCGGTAATATGTGGTCGAAAAATTGAACCAAAAGATTAAAAATGATACTAGTTAGAAAGTCATGCACCTAAATTGAAAAAAGCAATAAAAATGACTCAAATGTTTCAGATATGATAGTCAAGGAACCAAAAGTGATATTTACTCTAATCTAATATATATGAGGTGATTTTAGGTTTTTACTTATATTAGTAAAACCTTTTATCTGCTCGTGGAATACTCATGGCCGCAATCTGCTCCCAGGTCTCCTCCGTCACCGAGTTCCACCATACAAAACCGCCGAAACTGGATCAGGCGGCGGAGACGGAAGACTCTTCGAAGTCCGCTAAACGATGGGAGACGGGTGCCGGATTTGATGACGACTCTAGTGATGGCGACTTTGTATGCATCTTTTTATCTAATCTGCCATTCGAATCAATTATTTGTCGTTTTTTTTTTTTTTTTTTTTTTTTTTTTTTTTTTTTGGCTTCTGTTTCAAATTCATTAAAAATCATTAATTTTACGATTATGATTTTGCAATTCGTCATCTGCTATTCAATGTCACTCGTAATTATGATTCAATTGTTACTACTTTTTTCTTCAATTCTATTTGATTTGATGTGATTTTAATGGTTATCTGTTTCTAATCCATTATCTGTCAATTTTAGGGTTATAATTTTGCAACTCTTGTCTTCTGTTTATCTAATCTGCGTTTCACATCCATTATCTGTAAATTTTAGGGTTATAATTTTGCAACTCTCGTCTTCCGTTTATCTAATCTGCTATTAAATGACGTAATTATGATTTAATTTTTAATACTATTTCTTTCACATGATTTCAATGGACATCTGTTTCAAATCCATTATCTGTTAATTTTAGGGTTATAATTTTGCAATGTTTTGGTTGTCTTGTCTTCTGTTGATCTAATCTGCAATTTGCAATTCAAAGTTGTAATTATTATTCAACTTTTAATATGTTGTCTATTTCAATGGCCATTTCGTTCAAATCCATCTATAATAATTAAATTGTGCAATTTATTTGCTTGTGTTAGGGTGCTCCGAGACTTTGCCCTCAACTACTTTGCCCTCAAGAAGTTGAAGAACTCTCTGAACTGTCCGAATTTGCTCTTTCTCTTTGTGAGACTCAACATGTATGTATGCATCTCTATCCTATTCCAATTTTTTGAATTCAAATTCCAAAGAGGAAAATGTTTTCCACTCTACAAAAATCACCAAATTTCTGGATTTCAAATTTCAACTCGTTACAAAATGTGGCATCAAGAGTGTGTGTGGTAAATGGAAAATCATATTGGGTCATGTACAAATATTCATTTTCAATGTATTAAAAATGAATTTTATACCAGTGGTATATTTTATTATATAGCATATGTTCCATTGTATAATGATTGGTGGTAAACGTAAGGGATATTCTAAATATTATTCTCTTATTGACCAAACGGAGACCCATATATGAGGTAATTGTTAGGTTTTTAAGCCTGTATAAGTAAATCCTAACTAGCTGAAAACTCTGAAAAGCATCTTCTATCTGCTTGTGGAATACTCATGGCTGCAATCTGGTCCCAGGTCTCTTCTGTCACTGAGTCCGACCATACAAAACCGAAACTGGATGACGGAGATAAAGATGAGGCAGCGGAGACGAAAGACTCTTTGAAGTCCGCTAAACGATGGGAGATGGGTGCTGGATTTGATGACGACTCTAGTGATGACTTTGTATGCATCTTTTTATCTAATCTGCCATTCGATTCAATTATTTGTCGTTTTTTTTTTGGCATCTGTTTCAAATTCATCTATAATCATTAATTTTACGATTATGATTTTGCAATTCGTCTTCTGTTTATCCAATCTGCTGTTCAATGTCGTAATTATGATTCAATTGTTACTACTTTTTTCTTCAATTCTATTTGATTTGATGTGATTTTAATGGTTATCTGTTTCTAATCCATCTATAATTTTTAATTTTAGGGTTGTAATTTTGCAACTCTTGTCTTCTGTTTATCTAATCTGCTATTAGATTTCATAATTACAATTCAATTTTTAAGACTTTTTCTTCCATATGATTTCAATGAACATCTGTTTCAAATCCATTATGGTTAATTCTAGTGTTATAATTTTGCAATGTTTTGGTCGTATATAATCTGCTAGGGTTATGAAGATGAGGCGGTGGAGACGAAAGACACTTCAAAGTCCACTATACGAGGAGAGACGGGTACCATATCTGATGAAAGTGATGATGACGACTGTGTATGCATTCTTTTATCTAATCTGTCATTCGTTGTCGTAATTATGATTCAATTATTAGTCTTTTTTGGCATCTATTTCAAATCATCTATAATCATTAATTTTACGATTATAATTTTGCAATTCTGTCTTCTGTTTATATCCAACTGCTATTCAATGTTGTAATTATGATTCAATTGTTACTACTTTTTTCTTCAATTCTAGTTGCTTTGATGTGATTTTAATGGTTATCTGTTTCTAATCCATCTATACTGTTTAATTTTAGGGTTATAATTTTGCAATTTGTCTTATCTGGTGACGTAATTATAATTCAATTCTTAAACTATTTCTTTCACGTGATTTCGATGGACATCTGTTTCAAATCCACTATCTGTTAATTTTAGAATTTTTCAATTCGTCTTCTGTTTATTTAATTTGCTATTAATTGACGTAATTATAAGTCAATTTTTAATACTATTTCTTTCACGTGATTTCAATGGACATCTGTTTCAAATCCATTACCTGTTAATTTCAGGGTTGTAATTTTGCAATGTTTTGGTTGTCTTGTCTTCTGTTGATCTAAACTTCTATCTGCAATTCAATGTCGTAATTATTATATAACTTTTAATATGTTGTCTTCCAATCCATTCGATTTTATGCGATTTCAATGGGCATTTGGTTCAAATCTATCAATAATCATTAATTTTAGGTTTACAATTTTGAAACTTATTGCTTGTGTTAGGTTGGTACCATACGTTGCCCTCTAGAAATTGGAGAAGTGGTTGAACTGTCCGACTTTGCCTTTTCTCTTTATGAGACACAACATGTATGTATGCATCTGATCTCGATGCTATTTATTTCCCTCTCCATCAAATTACTTTCCCTGAATTTGTCTACTTTTTAGCCAGGAGAGTGTTGGAAGTTTGATAGCTTGCATGGGGGGTACCGGTGGAGCGAGTGGTTTACATCTACGGATCATTATCACCTTGAAGTTTTTGGCAAAGAGGCAGATGGTAATTCTATACGAAATTTTGTGGTGGATGCCCCTTGTTGTCTTTTGGGGGCACATGAAAAATTAACAGTACACCAATGTGTCTTACTGAAAGAGGATGAGGTGGAGCCGATGGATGAAAATGTATGATTTCTGTTTGTCATCCATTGAATTTGATGTTAAATGTGAATTCAATTCTTATTCTTATCTGTTCCAAATCCTACTATTGTTATTACTATTTTGCAGATTAATGAAAAGGTGAGCATGGAGACTGGTTGAATTTTCCAACTTTCACCTAAAGAGCTCCAGGAAGATTATGAAAGAATTGTTGAATTCTGCAAATCTGCCCTCACTCACTATGAGGAGCGCCATGTATGTATATCAACTCTACTTTTCTACCCAAATCAACTTGCCTCGGACGTTTTCTGAAATTTTTATTTATTTTCTCACATTTTAGTCAGGAGAAGCTTATGAGTTTGTGGAGATACAGACGGCGAGACGCTTTGTCATTAGAGGTATTTTTATATTCCATGCGAAAAAGAAGGCCGATGCTACTCTTGCAACTTTTAAAGCTTATACTAATCATCGTGTTCAACGAATGGACATAGACGTTTTGGGCTCTTTTACACAATGTCGTTGTAGAAGGCGCTAAGCACCTACAATACTGTTTTAAGTTGCCTTTTAGTTTATTGCATTTTGTTTTTAATTTTAATTTATTCTTTATAGTCAATATGATGATTATTGTAGTGTTTATATTTATGTTTAAATTTTTAATGAGTTTTTTTTTTTTTTCAAAATGGTCCCTTGACTTTTGATTATTCTCAATTTTGTATTTCGACTTTTAATTGCACCCAATGTGGCCCCTAACTTTTATAAACTCCCAATCTGGTCCTCCGTTAGGTTTTTTGTTAAGTCACCGTCAATTTTGAAGGCATTTTGGTAACTTTAGTAGCTTTAAGCCTATTGCAACTTCTATATGTTTGACTTCACGCTTATTGCAACTTCAATGCCAGAGATTAACCCCAAATAAAAAACACAAATCCTAAATTTTAAACTACACAAACTTTAAGTTCTAAACGACGATTCTGACGAAGCAGTTAAAGTATCATCGACGATTTCATGGGGCTTCGAAGGTTTGGCAGTAATACCTTGCCAATATATGGTAAGCAAAGGTTTTTTTTTTTTTTTTTTTTTTTTTTTTACAGCTTCAATGTTTGTTTTTTTTTATGAATTAATGTTTCTTTTAGACTTTACAGTAACATTTCATTCGAGTCCGGGTTCCTGGTTCCTGAGGTCAGCCGGGAGACCCCACGCCATGGGGTCGAGGTTCTCGTCTCTCTTGCAAAGAACGAACTAAACACTAGGTTACATCACATACTCTCCTACATTGTACATTTGCAACCCTTGCACAGCCACGAGCTCTTTCCCAATGGGTTGCATAGAAGGTCCCCAAAGGTCTCCATCGCATGCTCGCGAGGTGGGCCTTCACATCCTTGATGAACACCTCGGAGTCCTTGTAGCTTGACAGGGCTGCCTTCAAAGCCCACCTCGGAGTCCTTGTAGCTCGACACGGCTGCCTTCAAAGCCTCCTCATGCGCCCAGCGCTCCCGCGCATGACTGGCAATTAACTTGGCATACTTGCCCTCCAATGCCGCAGGCTTGCTCCCCATGGCCTTGTGCGCCGCCTCCAACTCTTTGCGACCCTCATCTCGGCCCCCAGCTGCGCCCGAGGGGGTCCGTAATTATCAAGCGGCTTTGGTACTCTCTTGGGCTGATAACTTCTCGCAGCCCCGAGAGTGGGGGACTGATGATGGAATAATTACGAAGCGAACTCAGAGCGAAGCAATATAGAGCGAATCACAGCCGGCACCGAGTGGACTACGCACGCGACCGGACAGACCATGGAGAGGTCTACCTATCACGGGGTCCCCGGCTACTATGCACACAGAGTGACGAACCACCCCGGGGTCGGCCAAAGGAAACAACTTGCATTAAATTAAATAATGTTGAATACAAAGAGGAATAGTAAGAGACCAACAAGAAATGTCAGTATGAGAACGAGCATCACGCGCAAGAGCGTGAGCTAGCTTATTCACTGAACGAGAAATATAATTGAAAGACACCACTTCAAAGTGTCGACGAAGATCACGACAGTCACGAATAACACAACCCGCATATGATAAATCCGATAAAGTACCATTAATAAAGTCGCACACAATCTGACAATCAGTGAAGACTTGAATCCTTTTAAGACCCCTTTCCTTTGTCCAGGATAGTGCTTTCTTCGATCACCGCCAAAGCCTAAGCAAGATGGGAATCATTTAAGCATCGTAAATGTCAACTTTTTGCCGCCATAAAAGTGTCATCCTCGGCCATAATCACAATACCATAAAAAGCTTGATTTGAATCATTACATAAACCTTAGCTACGTCTTGCGCTGTAGGTACATTAGTCGAAATGAAGTCAGCTGCAACAATATCCTCATGCATGGCTGCATGCTATCACTTTCATTTAAAAGCCTAGCAACAACATACCTGACTCTAGAAACAACTCTATTCATTTAAAAGTCTCCACTCTTACTTAGCAAGTAGAGCTATGTTGAATATGTTTAAACTTTTAAAGTTCATTCCCCCATGGAATTTTGGAACACCTAATCTTTCCCATGCAATAAAACTTACATATTAATATTAATTTCATGTATATTTTATTTTACATCACTCATAGGCTATAATAAATAATTCATACTATTGAACGAGCCAACTAAATTTTAAATTATCCCGTTCGATAATTTTTTCAGACTAGTTTTTATTGTATGTTGTTTCCTTTAGCTCCTAGTATTCGCTGATGAAATAGATTATTGTGATTGAACAATAAACACAAATGAAACAAGAATAAGAGAAGAGAGAGAGAGAGAGAGAGAGTAAGTGTAGATTTTATTATTCCAACATCATCAAAAAGGTCATATATATAATAACAAATGTAACTTAAAAGTAATAATGAAGACATAAATACTATGACTGTTACGAGTAGTTATAAATACTATGACTATTGAACGAGCCAACTAAGTAGGATGCAAAAACGATATTGTTTTATTAAAAACGTGCGTCTCCCCTTAAAAAAAAAATTCAGGTTCAATTCCCAGCAATTAGGGCTGGGCACTTCGGGTTTCGGTTTCGGTTTCGGTTTTTCAGTTTTAAAAAAATAAAACCATTCGGTTTAAAATAGAGTTCGGTTTCGGTTTGAAAAGTTCGGTTCGGTATTCGGTTCGGTTTTGGTGAAAGTCTACTATTTGAACGTTTCTTTTTTTGCCTGACCGGTTGTTCAGTTGGCTCACTTGAAGTGCCACTTGAAGTGTTTTGTTGATGACAAGATGAAAAATCATTCATCTATAGTTAATATTTGAAAAATAAAAATTACTAAAACACCAATTGGACTTACAACTTGGAGTTGAGATTTGAGGACTTGAGGAGTTAAAATTATTAATTATTAAAATATTTATATACATAGAAATTTAATTAAAATATAATCAACAATTAAAGTAATTATATAATAATTTTAATAAAATGATAATTAAAGAATAGGAAACATGTATCATAGTTAATTATATATATATATATATATATATATATATATAGGTGTATGATAATAATGATAGAATTATGAAATTTTTATAATTAAATAACAACGGTGTAATAACGGTATAATGGGTATACCCTTATTAGCATACAAATGTGAATATAATATAGACATGAATGTGGGTATAGCTTAGTGGGTAAAGCTCTTCATTTATAACCAAATGAGTAAGGGTCCAAACCTCACCTTAAACATTTAATATAATATATATATCTATTAATAAAAAAAATAGAAAACCGATCGGTTTCACCTAAACTAGGACCGATCAGATTTTCGGGTAGGAACCGAACCGAACAGTTCGGTTCAGTTCGGTTCGGTTCGGGTTACCCGAACCGATTTGCCCAGCCCTATTCGGGTTGGGTTACCCGAACCGATTTGCCCAGCCCTATCCGGTTCGGTTCGGGTAACCCTACCCGAACCGATTTGCCCAGCCCTACCAGCAACAACATTCATTCTGGAATTTTAGTTCATTCATTTTGAAACTTTTAGTTCATAGATTAGATTATGGAATTATAGTTCATCGATTATGGAATTATAGTTCATATGTTGTTGCTGGGAATCGAACATGATTTTTTTTTTTAAAGGGAAGACGCGCGTTTTTAATAAAACGACGTCGTTTTTGCATCCGTATGCACCATGCACAGCATAATTTGCCGACTGTTACAGTAGTTATATAATCCACTCATAATGTCCATACTAAATAACAATTATAACATTCAATTTTATTGGGCCAGCCTTACTTTGGAGCTAAGATTGATATTTTTTAATATTTTTTAAGAGTTAATTCTTCTTTGGTGACGATTCTAAATTTAATCTCAGACTATTGTTTTTGACATTTAACATCACATACTATTATTTTTTGTCACTTTTAGTCATTCTCATGACTGTTCTTATTTTTTATGAGGACATTTTTATATTTTCATATTTTTCTTTTAGTAATCATATTTTTCAACCGGTTTTAGTAAAGTGCTAAATTAATTAAACCGATAGAAATCGGAAAAATAAGAAAAGAAAAATGTGAAGTGACGAAAATACCCTTACTAAAAATAAGAAAAGTCATGAGAAGAATTAAAAGTGTTCAAAAAATAATAATCTGAAATATTAAATGAAACTAAATTTGAAATCGTTACCAAACCTATAATGTAATTAACTCTTTTACTAAGGTAATTTTCGGGTTTTTACTGTATATTCTCGTAAAATACTCATGGCCGGCATCTGCTCACAGGTCTCTTCCGTCACCGAGGCCGACCATACAAAACCGAAAACGAAACTGGATGACGGAGATACAGATGAGGCGGCGGAGACGATAGACTCTTTGAAGTACGCTAAACGAGGGGAGACGGGTGCCGGACTACATGACGACTCTACTGCTGACTCTGTATGCATCTTTTTTATCTAATCTGCCATTCGATTCAATTATTTGTCCTTTTTTTTGGCATCTGTTTCAAGTTCATCTATAATCGTTAATTTCACGATTATAATTTCGCAATTCGTCTTCTGTTTATCTAACCTGCTCTTCAATGTCGTAATCATGATTCAATTGTTACTACTTTTTTCTTCCATTCTATTTGATTTGATGTGATTTTAATGGTTATCTGTTTCTAATCCATCTATCATTTTTAATTTTAGGGTTTTAATTTTGCAATTCGTCTTCTGTTATCTAATCTGCTACTCAATGTCGTAATTATAATTCAGTTTTTTAGACTTTTTCTTCCATGTGATTTCAATGAACATCTATTTCAAATCCATTATCGTTAATTCTAGGGTTATGATTTTGCAATGTTTTGGTCGTATCTAATCTGCTAGGGTTTTAAAGTTGAGGCGGCGGAGACGAAAGACACTTCGAAGTCCCCTGAACGAGGGGAGACAACTACGGGATTTGATGACGAAACTAGTGAAGACGACTTTGTACGCATCCTTTTATCTAATTTGCCATTCGTTGTCGTAATTATAATTCAATTTTTAATACTATTGATTTTAATGATCCACTATCTGTTAATTTTAGGGTTATAATTTTTCAATTCTTTTTCTGTTTATCTAATATAGTCCAATTTTTAGTACTATTTCTTTCACGTGATTTCAATGGACATCTGTTTCAAATCCATTATCTGTTCATTTTAGGATTGTAAGTTGATACGTTGCCCTCTGGAAAATGGAGAAGCGGAGGACCTGTCCGACTTTGCTCTCTCTCTTTATGAGAAACAACATGTATGCATGATGCATCTTTATGCTATTTACTTCCCTCTCCATCAAATTACTTTCCCTGAATTTGTCTACTTTACTTTTTAGCCAGGAGAGGGTTGGAAGTTTAAGAGCGTGCATGAGGCTTACCGGACGGAACATTGGTGTTCTTGTGCCACTTCTTATCACCTTGAATTTGTTGGCAAAAAGGCAGATGGTAAATCTATACGAAATTTTGTGGTGGATGCCGATTGTTCTGCTTTTGATCCATATGAAAAATTAACGCTATACCAATGTGTCTTACTGAAAGATGATGAGGTGGGGCGAATGGATGAAAATGTATGATTTCTATCCATTGAATTTGATGTGAATTGTGAATTCAATTCTTATTCTTATCTGTTTCAAATCCTACTACTGTTATTATTATTTTGCAGATTAAGGAAAAGGTGAGCATGGAGACTAGCCTAATTACTTACGAACTAAAATGTAATGAGCTCCAGAAAGATGAAATTGTTGAATTCTGCAAATCTGCCCTCACTTACTATGAGGAGCTCCATGTATGTATATCAATTATCAACTCTACTTTCTTGCCCAAATCAACTTGCCTCGTTCGGTATCTGGAATTTTTATTTATTTTCTCACATTTTTAGTCAGGAGAAGCTTATGAGTTTGTGGAGATACAGATGGCGAGACGTTGTATCGTTGGAGGCATTTTTATATTTCATGCGAAAAAGAAGGCTGATGCTACTCTTGCAACCTTTAAAGCTTATAGTGATGATCGCGCTCTAGATATGGACATAAAGGTTGTGGGCTCTTTAAGTCGCCTTTGAGTAGTTTATTGAGACTTTGCCCTCAAGTAGTTTATGGAAGTGCAACAAGGGTAAGGGACATTATAAGGGTGTGTTTGGTACTTTGGTTCATGGGTTTACACACTAAAAATGTTTTCAAATTTTACTCATGTAACCAGCCGAGCACAATTATACATCTGTTATGGATAATCCATAATGTGGAATAAACTTTTATGTATATCCTATTTATGTTTCAAGGCATTGACAAATGGAAGGTTTATGTGTGTAAGACACGGGGTGATGGTGAGCCCATTGAAAACGAGGATATCAATTGTGTATTTACTTGTTTTTTATTTTATGTCACGTGGATCTGATGTCTCAATGGATTGTTCATACAATTACAAATGGTGTTCCATATTACAATTACAGCTAGTATAGTTCTAGACCAAGAGTTTCCACGAATTAGAATCAATTAAACTCTTGGGCATGTCTCGAACTGAATTTGAATTAGTATCACAATAATGATAATTTCAGATGTCATACAAGTACATTTTATTGTAAAAATATGAAATAATCTTATTCGTCCATCTGTATCAATCAATAAGAAAAAAAAAATAGACAGATATTGAAGGGTTCAAATGATAACATATTCTCAAGTAAAAAGTGAGACTGATCATATTTATCTATCTATCTATGATGGAACTAATTGACCTATGGTATGTATAAACCAATTAAGTTCACATAAATAATATAATAGGGGTAAAATAGTAAGATGAAATAAATGTAATACTTTGTAAGATTTTTTGTATTAGCATAAGAATATTACAAATTGCATTCGGTAGTAGAATTGGATATGATTTGTAAAGTTAGGAAACCCTAAGTCATAAACTCTTTTTAGACCTCAAATTATGAGATACTAAACCGCGAATTTACCTTCTTCAGTTATTTTCAAAATCTTATCAATCTACGTCAATACAACTATATATGCCTGCAAATAAGCCAAAATGAGTTTCCAATTTTTGAAACATAAATAATTTCTTGACGTTATAATACAACACTATATTATAAAATAAAAATCCACTTTTGATTTTTTTCATCGGTAAAAACCAAATAAAATAAACTAATGTGCATGCTCTGTTTTCCTATATGTGTACGAACTTTAACCGGTGGGTATATCATATATGTGAATTTAGTCCACTATGGTGCACTTATTGTAGGCAGTAGATGTTCTCCTATTGTTGATTAAGGTGCATCTATTACGTCACTTTGTTCTCTGATATACTTCTTACCTTAAGCTACTTTGACACTCCTACAAAATACCCTAAACCATAAACAATCCCCAAACATTCAATGTTTTAAGGCAAGCGCTTACCATTCTTTTAGAAAATTGTTCAATGTGATGATTATACTCTGATTTAATTTAGTATTATTATAATTAAACTAGTGTGAAGTGTAATTTAAATGATACATATTTCATGGTCTACACGATTACGACAAATTATTCTGTGGACTCTGGTCCAAAAACACACAATTTATATACTGAATGTTCACAATTTTATATACTAAATATTCATAATTTACATACTAAATTTCACAATTTACATACTAAATGTTCACAATTTTATATACTAAATGTTCACAATTTACATACGAAATGTTTACAATAATCAAATTGTGAACATTGGGTATATAAATTATGTATTTTGACTCGGGTCTACCTTGCAATGTGGACCTGTGTCCATGACATAACCAATCGTTATACTGTGCACTAGGGCGCACAATGCATTGTGCTGTTGTTCGCCCTGACCAAAATGGCTTCGTTTTTATTTCTTAGATTTTATGTGTATTATGTTAATAGTTTATGTGTATTATAAATTATGTTAGATAATGTATATCCTGTTATGAGTTTATGTGTATTATATATTATGTTAGATTATGTGTATCCTGTTATTAGTTTATGTGTATTCTGTTAAGAGTTTATGGTATTCTGTTATGAGTTTATGTGTATTATGTATTATGTTAAATTATGTGTATTTTGTTATGAGTTTATGTGTATTATGTATTATGTATTATGTTATATTATGTGTGTTCTGTTATGTGTATTATGTTATGAGTGTATGTGTATTATGTATTATGTTAGATTATATGTATTCTATTATGAGTTTATGTGTATTATGTATTATGTTAGATTATGTGTATTCTGTTATGACTTATGAGTTTATATACATTCGAAACAATTTTATTTTTTTTTGAATTTAACAGTAGAAATGGGAAACATAATTTTTTTTTTTTTTTTAAAAATATGGTCAAAACGACATCGTTTTAACCCAGGCGCACAATTGGTGCACGGTATAATTTGCCATGACATAAGTGTTGACGCTATTACGTAGACCGTGATCTCTACAATAAAATTTGGCCCATAAATAATGATTCATAACTATTGCCCAATTTGTAAATAAGCCAATTCTTCAATGCATTTTAACCCATATTGCATGCCCAAAGTTTGATATGATCATATGGTAATCCAACCCGGTTGGACTTCACAACAATGCATTTTATGGGGGTGGGGGTGGGGGTGGGGGAGGGGGTGTTTACTGACATTTAAGTGAATTTAGTAGCACGTAAGATGTATCCTCATGGCCACATACCCATTCTAGTCTAACACAATTATATAGTCTTAATAATTTTTGTCCATACGTTGATCGTTATAAACAAATATAAACAAATTTATCGAATACAAATACGTACGAATATATAGTTTATCGAGAGCTCTGTTCGTTAACATCTCTAGTGACATTAACACATAGTCCTACTTCTTATGATAACTTTCCCTATCAACATGAAAAATAAGAATACTTCATTGGACTCATCAATGTGTCATATCATGCATTATTGATTATATCGCACCATATCTTCTACCCGGCCAACTCTTCTTTCTTGGTGCAACATTTATAGTGCTCTAACCCAATCTCGAAATTCAGTACACTATCAAATAATAATAAATTAAACATGTGCGATTAAAAAAAATTTGTGTGTAATATTATCTCAACCTATAGTATTTTTCTTTCCAAATGTCATGAAGTTTAAAATGCCAAAGATAATCAATAAAATGTTTTTTCCTAAATTTTGAGAATTGAAATTCCAACGAATTAATTCTTTAACCAATTATAGGGCATTTGGTTGAAGGGAATTTAAATTCATTTCCCACTTAATTCCCACCTAATTCCAAAGGCCACAAAATCCCCTTATTTGGTTGGAAGGAATTGCAATTCCTCAATTTTCATGGAATTAAAATCCCATGTCCCCCTGGTATTTTAATTCATGAGATTTCAGAAAGAAAAAAAAAAAGAAGAAAAGATAGTGATGAGTCAAAATTACCCCTTTATTTTTTAACTTAAAATTAATGCTTAACAACAACAATGGACATTTTTAACTTTATACTACTTATTCCCTTTCAATTCCCATGTATACCAAACATTGGAATTGAAATTCCAGTAATTCTATTCCTGTAAACCAAACACTGGAATTTAAATTTTCACTTTATTCCCAGTAATTCATCTCCCATGGAATTGCAATTCCTTTCCCACATAATTCCCCCTCTCCAACCAAACGCCCTGTTAAAGATGGTAAAACAAGCTTTTCACTTATTTTATAAATTCAAGTTCTAAAATTTATTCTCTTATCAACCAAACAGGTGTTATGGGCAAGCCCCATATGAGTATATCGGAGCGTTATGTTGTGCAACAGTATGCACCATGTATGGTGCACACGATTGCGAACGACGTCGTTTCACTATGGTGGAGTAAAGTGCTGTTAGTGGCACTGTTTAACTCCAATCAATTTTTTTAATTAAAATTCTAATCGTCGGGATTTTCACCATTTTCACGCTTTCCTCTCCTAGATATATAGTTCATTCATTCTGGATATATAGTTCATTCATTCTGGATATATTGTTTGAATTATGCACAACATAACGCCGTTAACAGCAATCGAAACTAATTTTTTTAAAAGTCGGACGTCAAAACGACATCGTTTTTGTAACCGTGTGCACTTTGCATGGTGCACACGGTTGCACAACATAATTTGCCGAGTATATCACTTTATGTGTTGGGACGTCAATTACACCAACTTGTTCGATCTTGGGCAATCCCTATCGAGCTGCATGACTTATCCGTTCAGGTTAATTATATTTTTTTGTCGAGTTTAAAATTCTTGACCCTAATTCTAAAACATCGAAATATTGTACTTATCCAACAAGTTCAACTAAAACTTTTGACATTTTAAAATTAATATTCTAAACTTTCAATTTTAATAAATTAGAATATTTACACTAAAAATGTACATATACATCATTCAATCAATCTAAACCTCATTTATTTTAAAAAAATTTCAACTAAAAATAATTGATATATTTAACTATAATATAATAATTCTAATAAATTTTTTTATTTCTTATTATACATTTTAATAAAAAAAATATTTTACTTTGTAAAAAAAATCATTAATATATTTATAGAATTGTTATTTTTTTATTTTTGAAAGTCATAGATTTTTATTTAAAAATATAAAAAAATGAAATATAAAACTTACATATAAATTTCATGTATATTGTATTTTACATCACTTGTAGATAATAATAAATAATTTATACTATGGAGCGGGCTAACTAAAGTTTAAATTAGCCCATTCGATAGCTTTTTCAGACTTAATTTTATTGGGCCAGCCCTAGTCTGGAACTAAGATTGATATTACTATATATGAGAGGAAATTTTTAGGTTTTTACTGTATGTTAGTAAAACCTTTCGTCTGCTCCGTGGAATACTCATGGCCGGAATCTGGTCACCAAAACGGAAACTGGATGACGGAGATAAAGATGAGGCGGCGGAGACGTACGCTAAACGACGGGAGACGGGTGCCGGATTTCACGAAGAATCTACTGCTGACTCTGTATGCATCTTTTTTATCTAATCTGCCATTCGATTCAATTATTTGTCCTTTTTTGGCATCTGTTTCAAGTTCATCTATAATCGTTAATTTCACGATTATAATTTCGCAATTCGTCTTCTGTTTATCTAACCTGCTGTTCAATGTCGTAATTATGATTCAATTGTTACTACTTTTTTCTTCCATTCTACTCCGTATTTGATTTGATGTGATTTTAATGGTTATCTGTTTCTAATCCATCTATCATTTTTAATTTTAGGGTTTTCATTTTGCAATTCGTTTCTGTTATCTAATCAGCTTCAAATCCATTATTGTTAATTCTAGGGTTATAAATTTGGAATGTTTTG